CCTGGAGCACATTCAGTTCATAAAGAACTCTGGCCAAACCTGTTAATCCTTCTTGTCACTTTGCATCAACTAAGAATAAATCCTAAAATAACTTTTCCCCAACCTGGAATGCTCCAGATGTTTTGTGACTGCAGCTTCCAAAATACCCATTGGAATTGGTAAATCATCCCAAACTGTTTTTTCATGTGAGGGATCATGCCATTGCTGATCTTTTGGTTGGGGTACAGTTGATAAGCTTCCAAGGAAACCAAGGTTTCTTGGAATACTGTTTTGAAAACAACTAGCAGAGTGCATCTGGAATACATCTAGAGTAACACATCCCTCTGAATTTTAATTACAATGTTTTACTTATTTCAGAGAGGCTGGCAACAAATAGACAAAGTACTCTGGATGAAAGTACTCTCCTTTTTTCTTTCTTTTTCTCTCTATGTATTTTTGTAAATATACTTCAAAGCTCAGTGTGAGATTTGCAGTTATGTGATCCAGTGCATGACGAGAGTCTGTAGTATTATTCCATTAGTTTTGCTGTGGCTCTTTGCGGTGGTTCCCTCAGACTCTAGCTTGGATGAGGAGGAGAGCTGGTTTCGGAGCTATCCTAGAAGGAGTACGGGGAGCATCAGGGAAAGATGGAAGGGTCTGTGCCGGAGGCAAGACAAAGTAGCAGTGGAATAGGGTGATTGTGGTGAAGAAATCACTAGAATGTTGGAGGAATCTGGGAGAGAAGGGTCAGAAGAACAACTGGTTGCGCAATCCAGAGAGGATATGCAGCTGCAACCAGTCACAGTGTGGACAAGAAGGAGTTGCCGCCTCTTCCCAATCCAAGGATGTGCAAGGCCCAGTGGAGAGAGGCGCAGTAGAGATCAGTGAGATTAATCATGAGGAGATAGCCTTGCCGCTCTTAATGAAGTGCACTGGTTGGTGCCTACTTAAGTAGGATTTTGAACTTGATTGGTATTGGAGGAACTAATACTCCAACTCACTGTGAATGTTTGGAACCCTTTTGTTCTTCATTGTGCCTTGGACCTGTTGGGAGTTGTCCTTTGTCCTGCTTCAACTCAGTGACATCATATTTGTCTTCGTCTGGCTTTAACTCATTGGAGTCATGTTTGCCTTTGCCTCTGCCTTGCCTGAACTGTGGGGAGCTGTGAGCTGATGAGACTAGGGCTACTCTTAGGTGTTGTGAATTAAATAGAACATCTTGCCTTGCTCGTTCGGACTAGGCCACTATTGGCCGGGACTTGGAAAAGACTTAAAGAGGACGGCCCGTAACACTTTTGCATGCACAGTGGGAACTTGGGGTATGCCCAAGGGTAGTTGTGTGAATAAACACATCTAACTCCTTACAGCATGCATGTGCTTGTGGACTGGGGCAGGACACCCTTAATGAGCACCCAAGTTTCTGAAGGATTTGATTTTGACACCATGCAAGGGGAGATTATGAGCAAACCATTGTGAAAAAAACCTCTCTCTTGTAATTTCTGTTTTATTTTTGTTTATTTTTCTACTGCTTTCTTGTTCATCCTCTTGCTATGTTTCATTATTACATGATGTCTATGATATTCATGGCACCGAATAATGACCATTCATGTATACCATCCTAATTTATGCCGGAACATCTGAAGATAAAACATGATTTGAGGAATAGTATGTTGTACAGTCTATTTGGTGGACTTACATAACATCAGAAGCCAATACAATGAAGTAGATTTCTTTAAATGCATTTCAATATATAAATAATAAGTACATACCAGAAGCATAGCTATTAGAAAAAAGTTGAATATCTAGTCGTTTAAGCAAGGCAGCCAATACAATTTTATTTTTCCTTCAGTTGCTTCCAATTCTCTGAGTCCCACTGGATATCACTTGGCAAGGTCAGTCTGTCAGGAATCAGCTCCTTTGAGTTCTAAGAAACTCTTGTTCATGATGTCAGTGATTGTATCTCGCCATCTTATCTTCTGTCAGTTTCTTGATTGCCTTCGATTTTTCCAGGCATCAAGGTATTCTCCAATAACTCTTGACTTCACATTATGTGTCCAAAATATCTCAACTGAAGCTTCCAATGAATAATCTGGTTTCCTTCATCTAATATTCAATGTTTTGTTCTTGCTGCAGTTCAAAGTCTTTTTCCACCATTTTCTGCAGTGCCACACAATTCAAAGGCATTGATTTTCTTTCCTTCAGCCTTTCTAAGGATCCAGCTTTCACAGCCAAGTGCTACAATTGGAAAACCTACAGCCTTGATAATACCTATTTTTGTTATCAATATAACATTTCTGCATTTCAATATTTTGTGCAGACCTGTCATAAACTTTCTTTTAGGTAGCAAAGGTCTGTTTGTTTCATGACTACAGTCATCAGTCTTGTGATTTAAAAACAAAATTTTGGTCAAAAAGATAAAGTCTACTATTGTTTCAAGTTCTCAGTCTGTTGGCTTTGGTTTGGCATTGCTACTCACATAATCTTAGCATTCTTTTTAATATTTAATGCTAAAGAGAAGGCTAGTCTTGCAGGCTCTTTTTTTTTTCAGCATGAGCTTCCTTAAATTTTCTTTACTGTACTCTAGCCATGCAAATTGTATTATCAGCATATCTATGGTTATTAATCTTAATTTCTACTTATTTTAGTTAAATATTTCTTGTGCTATATTTTTTAATAAATCAGGCTGACAGCAAACAACCCTGGTACAGGTAGTCCTCAACTTACAACACTTCATTTAGTGACTGTTCAAAGTTACAATGGCACTGAAAAAAGTGACAGGACTATTTTTCACAGTTACGACCTTTGCAGCAGCCCCATGATCATGTGATCAAAATTCAGATGCTTGGCAACCAGTTCATAGTTATGACCGTTGGTGTGTCCCAAGCTCATGTGATCCGCTTTTGCGACCTTCTGACAACCAAAGTCAATGGGGAAGCCCGATTCACTTAACAACCAGGTTACTAACTTATCAACGGCAGTGATTGACTTTACAACGGTGGCAACAAAAGTCGTAAAATGGGGTAAAACTCATTTAACAAATGTCTCAGTTAACATCAGAACTTTTGGGCTCAAGTGGGGTTGTAAGTTGAGGACTACCTGTATATCCTTTCCCAATATTGAATCAATTAGTTGCTGTTCTATCTGTTGCCACAAATTCTTCAGTACCAAACACCTAATATACTCATGCTTGTAAGGACTATTTAAACTAAATAATGAGTTTAAAATATCCCCAATCTCCTTTCTATATTATTGCAAGAAAACCTGCATGATCATATTTATTTATTTATTTATTTATTTTATTTTATTTATCCATGTAATCATGAGTAGAATATTTTTATTTTTATTCTTATTATATTAAGACTTGACTACTGTAATTCTCACAGTTTCTACTACTGTCTCCAGTGATAAATACATAAATCCTAACTAATTTATTTACATGCTATTGACCACTAAGTTGGCATTGACTCTTTCTGACCACGTAGATAGATTTTCTCCATGAAGCTCTGTCCCTAAGCTACTCTTTCAGTTCTTCCAAAGGTATATATGCTTCTCTTTACTGTATATTTATTGGTCATTATTTTTCATAGATTGATTATGTAAATTTTGATACCTCATTTTCAGTCTTGAGTTCCTTTCCTTGAATTCACAATATCAAAAAAGCAAATTTCTTATATACTGTATATCTTACGTATAATTCTATCCAAACTTTGTCAGGCAATTTGGCTTTACCTAAGGCTTTTTACATAGTTTTACAAAATGTAAATAGTTTGCTTCTATTCATGAATTTTTAGATATTTTTTCTTCTATGTACCTTTCTCTTTTTTTATATATTTTTAAAAATTTTCCCGTTCTTTTTAAGGGGGTATGTTGAACAGTTCAGAAAAACTTAAAATGATAACTTCATTGTTTATTCTTGATTTAGTTTGGCGTATGCAAATTAAAAACATTATATTAAAATGGGGACTAAACCAGTTTGTTCTCCATTACTTCATCATGTAGTATACAGAATTTAAGAATATACTATTATTGACTAGTTATTTGTTCTGTGTAACAGAAAAAGAATGTATCAAAAGAGTAGTAGATAAAAGCTATTATAGTATAAAATGCCAGAACTGGACTACTAAGATTCCAGTACAGGTGGTCCTCAACTTACAACAATTTGTTTAGTGACTGTTCAGAGTTACAATGGCACTGAAAAAAATGACATGATCCTTTTTCATACTTACAACTGTTACAGCATCCACATGGTCACATGATCAGGATTCAGATGCTTGGCAACTGATTCATATTTATGACCTTTGCAGTGTCCCAGGGTCATGTGATCCCCTTTTGCAACCCTTCTGACAAGCAAAGTCAATGGGGAAGCCAGATTCACTTAACAACATTGTCATTAACTTAATAATTGCAGGTATTATAACTTAATAATTGAGGTAAGAAAGGTCATAAAACAGGGCAAAACTCACTTTACAAATGTCTCACTTAACAACAGAAATTTAGGCTCAGTTCTGATCATAAATTGAGGACTACTTGTATAGTGGTTTTTAAACTTTTTGACTGAATTCCCCTTACCTCCAACTTGAATAATGTCATTTCTCTCTCTGTATCCTTATCTCTCCCTCTCCCTTCCCCCCTCTCTCCCCCTCTCTCTTTCCCTTTTACACATACCCACCCACCAACAACCACACACCATTGATTTTACATAAACGTCTCCACAGTGGCAACCCTATACTGAATCCTTGATTTACAAACAATCTATTACAAATTGCTCCATTACTCCCAGAATATACCCAAATTAACCTGCTTCCATCTTGCAAAGGGCCTCTTAACATATTATAATACTTAATATGTTTCTGCAGATCTGCCCTTCTCTATCATATTGTAATGGAGGAACAATTTATTTCTCTGTTTTCCCATTTCCAAGTCAGACAACTGCTATTTGTATGCCTATTATAGAAATAAGAAAATAATATACTACCATAGTAACATTTATCTCTTCCTCTTTTTTTTGTCCCTTTAAATAGTTATATTGCAAACCAGCGGGGTTTAGAAAGCATAAATGAAATAGATGTTGGACTGTACACTGGATTGAGAAATTTGTAAGTATATATTTTAATTACGTATATTTAGTATTATAAATGACATATTTTGCCCACTTTGCGTAAACGTTATAGTGGAATGTACTGAAGTCTTACATAGGCCATTGTCTTCATTTATTTCATTTAAAAGAAGCAACTCAACTCTGTATATTTGTGGATGTAATTCATGAAGCTGAGTATAATGAGTAATTATAGCAAATTGAAAATTTTATCACATGGCATCACAGATTGTTGAATTGGGAAATAAAATAACAATTCTTGAACAACAATTTATTCTGAAATTCCTTGAGTTACATGCTATACTCTCCATAAATAAATGAATGGATGATACATCACTCAGTAATTGTAACTTGTGCTTGTGTACTTTTACAGAACTGTGGTGGACTCAGGCTTGAAGTTTGTCTCACGCCAAGCTTTCCTGAAAAATATTAACCTACAGTACATGTAAGTGAAGACCCACTTTATGACCTTAGGACAAGCGGGATAATTTAATTATCAGTCGGGACTTAAAATATTGTCTTCCATACTATATTGCTGGATTCAGCTTGCGGCTGGTTGCCACTTGGTAGAATATATCACTGTTGTTCAGTTGCTAAGTCGTGTCCAACTTTTCCTGACCCCCCGTGGACCACCTATCACTGTATACAAGAGCAAGAAGAATTTGGAAAAAGACAAATATGATGTTTCCCCTATATTAGGTGCAAAGGATTTTTTAAACTTTTTGGTTATCAGTGATTGCCAATCAGTATGCATCCTCCCCCCAAACGGTATAATACAGTATACCCAGGCACCTCTCCTCCCATATATATTTTCCTACCTAGATATACACACTCAGTTACAAAGGTATTGTGTCCATTGCAATGATACTGGGTATAATCCACTTTTAGTTGTTAGGGAATGCAAGCTGGAGGATGTATGGGAATTCCAGAAGCTCATGTCTTCATATGGACCTCTGACTGACCACTATAAAAAGATTAAGTTGACTAAAAGGCCCTTTGAACTAATCCAACAACTCTGTTCTTGCTAATTATGTATCTGTCTCCTGACCTAAATTCCTCCTCCCATTTGAGTGTATTATAAATTGCTAGAGCTGCACATGGCAGCCAATCAATACATACTCATTTTCCTTTTCTGTTGTTCAAATGACATTTTCAGCAAAATGGTTAGACAGTTTGCTGCCAAACAGATGGCAGTGGACTGTCCAAGTTTAGTATTAGAAGGAATGATGACTGGAAAATATCCAGCTATTTTTGGATACATATTGGAATGTTGTTTTAAATAAAGATGTGATTTACTGATCTTGCTCTTTAATGTAAGTAATTTCCACTGTCAGATAATAGCAAAGGCTAAAGATCTTACATAAGTGACTTTAAAAGTTCTATCTTTAGGGACAAATAGCTACTAAGGAACTATGTGCTGATTCATTTACAAAATTCACTTCTATAGAAATATTTCATCCATTAGAAAAGAGGAGGATATTGGATGAGCAGAAAGGAAAGCAAAGGATGGAAGAAATGTTGTTTTGACTATCAGCTATCCAAGATTGTTGTGACAGTGTGCAAGCTATTCCACTGGCTATTGGAGGGTTTATTTATATCTATATATGTGTGTATGTATGTATATGTATATATATATATATATATATAGCGATAATTTATGTATATAGCGATAATGTACATTAATAATTTCCCTGTGTCTTCTCTTAACAAGAATTTGGCACGTTTGTGATTTAGAAACTTTCTTTTTTTTAGAAAATAAACATAAGACATAAATTATAAGAATTTCCAGTTTTTTTAAAAAAAATAGTTGGGCTTTAATCAACTCATATCAGATCTCTTTAATTCCGTTTAAAATCCCTTTAAAACAGATATGCTACAATATAAATAATTCAAACATATCAATACTAATATAGACATATCCACCAACATCAGTAGTATCAAATTCTAAAGAACTTTAAATAAAATATTTTTATAAACATATTTGCCTTTTTCCCCATTACCTAGGTGAAATTTATGTAGACAAAATGGCTGTCTTTAGCTGATGTATGATTATAAAAATCAGTAATACTGTAAACAAATGAAATTAAATATTCCATAGACACTACCTAAATGTAAACTGTAGTATCAGTTGCAATAGTCCACTAGGAGAAGGGTGGGATATAAATTGAATAATTGAATTGAATAATAAATATCTAATGGAAAAATCTAAAAATCTTTTCTGTATTTTCAAAAAAGATCACTGCATCTTGCTGTATATTCTTCTATTGTGCAGACATAATAAAGAATATTTTCTATTACTTTTGTTACTGATGCATAGGCTGGCCCATGGTATTATAAGGGGAAAGTGTTCCCAAGACATTTTATTGACATTTCCTTGGTCTGCTTTGGTGTTACAATATTAAGATAAGACAAATATATGTCCTAGAGCAGGGGTGTCAAACTCGATTTATTGAGGGCCACATCAAGGTTGTATTTGACCTTGGCGGGCTGGGGGTGGTGGTAATATGGCCAGGGTGAGCTCCATTTTTGGCCCTGATGGCCTCATGCAACCCTCTGCCAGTGAAAACAGAACTCTATTTTCACTGGCAGAGGCACTGCGGGCTGGTCCTTCGCTGTTTCCAGGGCGGATCTAAGCATCTGCGGGCTGGATCTCGCCCATGGGCCTTGAGTTTGACACTCCTGTCCTAGAGGGAATAATAAAATTTCTGTTTGTGGAAGAAAAAGGATAATGACAAGAAGGAAAAGTTTTTTTAAAAATAAGAAACAGGTTGCATATAGAGGAGAATACTGGCTAAGGTCACCTTTAGCCAATGCAGCTGTAAGTGTAGCTTTAGATTAACCTTATTGTCCATGTAAGTTGAACAATCAATTCACATGAGAGATGTATCTTGCCAAAACGTGTCATTATAGCTTTGCCATAAGGACTTCACTACAAATTGATTATCTCACTACAAATATGCTATGTTCAACAATAATTGGGTTGAGAATTCTGCAAATACTAGTCAAAAACATCTGGCTGCCACTAGAATGGTAAAGGTTAAGAAACATTTTAAGCATTTTAATCTCTTCTTAAGATGTAAAACAAAGAGAAGCTTTTATTTTTGTTTTCAGCTAACAATGTTGCTCGTAACATGGAACCCTAGAAACACTAGTTAATTTTCAGTATAGTTTAGAATAGGAATGGGCAATTCATTGGCTCTATCTATTCCCCAAATGTCTTTTTCTTCAGTCCACAATGATTACTTTGCTGAAATTTTTTTTTTTTAATATGATTTATATGCCGCCCTTCTCCGGAGACTCAGGGCGGCTTACAATGCGTTAAGCAATAGCCTTCATACTTTTGTATATTTATACAAAGTCAGTTTATTGCCCCCACAAACTGGGTCCTCATTTCACCTACCTTAGAAAGGATGGAAGGCTGAGTCAACCTTGAGCCTTGGAGAGATTCGAACCAGCAGTAAATTGCAGGCCGCTGTGTTAATAACAGGTTGCTTAGACCACTGTACCAGCAAGGCTCTTTGGTGGCAAATCAACAAATGCATCACTTCCAATTGTTTTCCAGAAGAATTAAAAGAATTAAAGAAGAAAAAGGTTTTTTAGGATAGACTTTAAGAAAGTAAGATGTACATATACACAAACCCTGATGAAACACCTATCTAAAAAATCCCCCTCTATTCTCCTGCTTCATTCGTGTGGCATTATTATGTCATGGATGAGTTCAGAAAATTTTCTGCTAAGGACATAGTGGTAATGCTGCACATTGTTACTACACTTTTTAATATGTACATATTTTATTGGATCTAAGGGACATGGTGGCTCAGTGACTAAGATGCTGAACTTGTCGATCAAAAAGTCGGCAGTTCAGCGGTTTGAATCCCTAGTGCCATGTTAACGGGGTGAGCTCCCGTTACTTGTCCCAGCTTCTGCCAACCTAGCAGTTCAAAAACACATAAGAAATGCAAGTAGAAAAATAGGGACCACCTTTGGTGGGAAGATAACAGCGTTCCGTGTTCCTTTGGCATTTAGTCATGCTGGCTACATAACCACAGAGACGTCTTCGGACAGCACTGTCTCTTTGGCTTTGAAATGGAGATCAGCACTTCCCCCTAGAGTCGGGAACGACTAGCACATATGTGCGAAGGAACCTTTACCTTTACCTTATTTTATTGGATATTTGACATCTCATAATTGGCCCTGATGTAAAACAGAATGCAGGAAACTACTGTTATATACTTCAGGTAGGTGGATCTGGATTGAAAAAAATTCAGACAAGCACCATTTCGCAACATTTTTATTGTGGCAGGGAGCCTATATCTTATTCAGTGAGAATATATTTCCTATGGAAAATAAAAAGAAAGGTGCTGCTAGTCTGGAAATCTTTATATTTTGTCAAATTTAAATATTCTTTAGTAAAGGGGTGCCTCTCACAGTGCATGCGATCATGTGAATATAGTCAAGAGCAAGAATGCATTTGATTTTCATTGTAATGGAAGATGCAAAAGTGTATTGCAATATAATACAGTAAATATGTAATTGAACTGAAAGGCTTAATGATTTCATGTTACCATTTTTCCATGATGTTTGCTGTGAACACATAGTTTAAAAAAGTATTTCTAAAAAGTCTGTGATGGAGTTGTTTGGGATTTAGCCAGGGTTTGGAAAAGTAAAATCTTTGATGTAGGATCAAAGACGATATGGTAAACATCTATTTTGCTTATGAATAAATTGAGCGTTTAGTCAACATCTGAGAACATCTTTGGAGTAAAACTTAATCCAATGTTTCTTTTCCTTCACTTGAACTGAACTGTTTTAAGGTACATGTTGCAATCAGTGTTTATGTGTGCCCAGTCTTGATGTCAAGCTAGGATACAATCTGTATCAGTTTTGGAGATCATCAACGGGAGTTGTTTGACAGAGTTTAACTTCCTGGGATGTGTCTCTCAAAACTCCCTTGTTTCCTCATTTTAATTATGACACTGTTTCTTTACAGTAACTTCTCCAGAAATAAGCTTTCAAGTTTGTCCAGGAAGACTTTCCGCCATCTGAATTTGACAGATCTGTAAGTAATTGCTTTTCTGAAAAATCAAGTTTGTTGTTATAATGAATGTTATTAGCATTATTACCAGGCACAGTATTTTAGTATTTAGATTCCAGGAAGAAAACATTTAAAGTTTATGTTTCTAGGAAAAATAAATTTTGTTTCACAGTACTGTGTGTTTTTAATATGTGTGTTGGGTGTATCTATGTATTTAACATATGGGACACAGTCCAGGGAACATATAGTTGAGGGCGTCTTGTGGCTACCCTTCCAAGCATCAAAATAATTTTGTGTTTAGGCTAACCACACTGCAGCAACAGAGCCATTGTTGCAAGAATGGTTTCACTTTGCAGCTAGTCCTGGAATTTGCTTCAGTTACCATGCAAACCAATGGCTCCTTAACTCTGAACTAGTCATTAGTCCATGTTTGGATACTATGAAAAATTACTATCAGTCCAGGTAAGCCAAGAACAATCCATGATTATAGATTGAAGGTGTAGGTAATCCTAGGGTTTCAACCACTAATTCAATGACTGTTCAAAGGTTCAGTGGTGCTGAATTAGTGGTACTTACGATTAGTCCTTGAAGTTTCACCGTCACAGCCCCGTGACAGACACATGATTTGGGTGGTTGGCAACCAGCTCGCACTACAAAGCTTGCAACAGTCACATGATCACCATGGCTATGAAAGTCAATGGAAAAGCTGGCAAGGAAGGTTGCAGAACATTCCTGTAAGTCACTCCTGCTCCCTCTGCTTTTTCTCCTGAGGATCCACATTACTGAGTAAGGGATTCCAGAGATCTCATACTCCATAGTGCACCTCCTTGTCTGCACTCCATAGCTCAGACCCACCTGGTTACATTTGCACTTTAGCACTCCCCCTCTATTTGCCTGGTTGAACTTGTACTGGGCCAAAGCACGCACCTCCTCGCACCACTCTGCAGCACTCACTCCCCACCTGCATTTGTGCTGCACTATGGCACCACATGTGCACCCACTGCACACTGTAGTTGCTCACCTTCCTACTGAGCTACACTCATGCCACACTGCATCACCCACTGCCTGCTTGTCTATCTGCACTTGCATCTTCCCAGTTAAAAATAACAAAAATTAGAGTGGTAGAAATCAATCTGGAAATCTGTAGAAATTCATGAGGAATCATCTTGCTGGGTTGTTTTCTGTTTCTGACCAGAATTACCATGGTGCCTATGTCATATATTTAAAATTTCAAATTTTCTCCTTGTCCCAGAAGGATCAGAATTTGGCTGCAAGTTTGGTAGTTAAAACTCTTCCTTTCTATCATCATCCACAATACCAGGCCTGTTCAAATCCACCCTTTTTTCCTTGCACAACAGAAATGTTATTGTTCACTGTATTGTTACAGTTAATTTCACAAGTGTCATATTTATCAGATAGGAAGATATTTTTCCTAAACAGTTGGAAATCAAAGCATATTCATATAGGCCAATATTGTAGCAATTATTTTTTGTAAATGGGCTACTTTATTTTATAAACAGATAATTGTAAATTATTAATTCCATTTATTTCCTGAACATATATACACAAATATATATATACACAAAAATATATTAGCACATTCATCCATTTATTGGAGAGGGAGAACTCTCCAGATTTGGAAGCTATTTGTGGAATTTCAAATACAGATTTGCTTTATGATGTAGTTCCCGCTCTTTTCCAATTAAAGTGTAATTGAGCTGAGAATAGAGATTGTTTGGTATAGTTGTATATTTATACTGAGGTCTACATGCTTTCTTTTCTCCTACACACCACTGAAAGCAACTATTGTTTCTCCAAAACAGGTGGAAGTAGACTGCTTAACGTTTTCAATATATTAGCATAAATTTGTCAAACCTACAAAACTCTCTCTTTGATCTGAATATTTATTTGAGCTGATCTACTCAGACAGCTTCGAAAACATCTGAACTGCTGTGAATATTCTATGAGATTACATTAACAGAAGGATCTGGAAGACCAAATCAAATGTTCTGCCTGTAGATTGTTATAATTAGTGCTGGATTGTTTCATCTTAATAAAATGACTTAGGGGCAACAAGTGGTACATCAATGAATTAGCTCATGAAATATAGGTTATGCTTTTATGAGCAAAGCTGAGATAATGTTCCTTGCCTGAGCCAGACATCTGGACTTTTTGCTGTTTCTTTTTTTATTCTAGCTTCTTTATACATTAAGTACAAGAAATACTTTAAGTACCCAATTAAATAAGCTTTCCTGGATGTGTTAATTTTAAGTGGATAATAAAGAGTCTATTTTAATTCCTCAGTGTGAGCTTATATATTCTTCTAAGCCTTAGAGTCCAGTATTTGTTGTTGTAGTCTTAAATGTAAGCCATTTTTGCATTTGTTCCAAGGGTTTCATAGATGACTTCTTTTTCAAGTTTCTGCATCTTTTGCTTGAAATATATTTCTGTGACGTTTGACCATAAGGGGGAGCTCAGTTTATCCACAATAATAGAAAATATCTAAAACTGTATTATGGGACACTGTATACTGAGAATTAAATATGATTCTTCTTCATGGTCCAGAATAATTTTTTTTCTACTGAATTGAAGAAAATGGCATTCTTTTTTTCCCAGTCAAAGTCAGATTTTTGAGGTACAACTTTTCAAACCTGCTTCTCTCCAAATGTGTCTAAACTAGCAGCAGTGGCTAAAAATATTAGGAATTATAGTCCTAACACATTTAGAGGGGATCAGATTGTAGTCTAAACTAGATAAATGGATTAGAACTATTTTGGGCAAAATCAAACAAAGAGGGTTTGGGATCTCATCTTAAAAGAGGCATCCCCTTTCCCAGAGATGCAAAAGGGAATATATTCTGATCCAATGAATGTTGTCAGGTCTACAGAAGTACTATTTTATTGATATATAGACTTAGCTGATTACTAAATTAAAGCTCAGGAGCCACCATGCAATGGCAATGTTGTATTTAAATATCCACATAAGAATCAGTGGAAAAATAAATACATTATTTGGACAGCAATGAAAAGTGTTTTCCTCTTATCCTAATTGTGGGCCTGATTAGAGATAAGTGTAATTCAATATGCTATATCTGCTTTTTTGTCACTGTTTAGACCTGTCTAGTCTTATTTTAAAGTATCTTTCATTTGTCAACTGTTGTTTGGGGGATTTTTTTCTTAAAAATCCTGATATAAATCTATTTTTGTTGTTGTTGTTGTTGTTTTTGTAGGATTTTAGATGGCAACCCTTTCAAGTGTTCCTGTGATATTATGTGGATCAAAGTATTCCAAGAGACCAAGTTTCCAAAAGCAGAAACTCAGGATTTTTACTGCATAAATGACTACAACCAGAGGATATCTCTGCTAGAGAAGCCAGTCCCAAACTGTGGTAATGCACTTTTATTAATATCTATATTTAAGCTGTTAAAAATGGAGTACAAGAGACCTCTGTCTAAACTTCATTAATTTTGGTAGAACCTCATAGAAAGTTTAATGGATTTTCTTATTTTAAAAACAAGTTTTAGTTTTGATTGGGAGATACAGACATCCTATTTCAGACAACTCTTGCAGTCATATATAGATAGGGTGCTTAAATGGAATCATGATTAATAGAATTTAAGTTGCTGCATGATTTTCTGCCTGAAATAATTCTCTGACTTTTTAAATTTTTCAAATTCGTTTTGGTGATACACATATTTCCCCCCCAAAATGTACTCTTATTTCTAGTTTATCTAATGAAGTGTTGTTTCTATTATAAGAACATTGAAAACTGCTCATGTCCTGTTATTCTATAAATAAAACTGTTGGTTAAAACTGAAACAGATAATTGTATGTTGAATGAACTCAAGATCTGTTCCCATTTCAGAAAGTTTTGCTTTAAAAAATTATAATTTTAAACATTTCAAATATCACAAAATTATCACTTGCATCTAGAATGAAGCAAGCTATTTATCTGAGCAAATAATCTGGTATTTAATGGATTGTGCTGTCATTCAATTCATGGAAAGTTCCTGTTGGTGGAAAGAGAAACAATTTTCACTGATTCTTCTCTCTGTTGCATTTCCATTAAAATATATGCTGGAGGACTGCTGACCATCCCAAACAATGAGTTGGTGGCGATTTTGGAGATTATGGTGGGAGGGAGAAATTGACAAAATGCATAAAATTTATTTGTATTAGTGGAAGGAAAATGTAGTATCTAAGAGTTACGTACACTTATCCCTTTTGCTTTCTGTAGTTTACGCTGTAAAAATGGAAAAATCTTGAATGAAGGTCTTTTGCAGGCTCGTTTATGGTGCTTGATATTCTGTCTCCTGTTTTCCTTTCCTTGCATTAATAGTTTGTGTCAATGGACTTGCGCCTTCTTTTTTCTTTTCTTTGCTACCTTTTCTTATTAAAAAAATTGAGTGGCATATTTATATTGTATATTGGAGCAGCATAGTGTAAAATTTCATTTTGAGGCATCATCTTGAAAAGTTTTAAGGTTTACTTTATTACCCTTTTAAAAAGAATTACACTATATTTTTTTTATATTTCTCTTTGCTTCTGATCCAACAGGGAGTAAAATTTAAGAGACGCATTTAGTGTGGTGTAATTTGTTTTGATGATCTGTGTGATATTGTCTGAAGTACCTCTTTAAAAGATGTGAGTTTGGCATAGGGTAGAAGGAAGACATAGTTCTTTAACAATTCTGTGGATCAATGCAACTGACAGACATGAAAACCTAAGCCTTACAAGCTTTGAAAAACAAAAATCCATAAGGAAATTTCTCTGACATCTGCCAGTTTGAAACCAGATTATTTTTAGTACTTTATTACAAGATTTCTGGATAAAATATTTGTGTAACCAACAAGTCCTGTGATGCTTTTAATTACTGGGATAGCTTAGGTTAACCATGATAGCATTTTATTGTCTAAAAAAATACCAGATGAATCAAAGTATTTGGCTTTCATCCCCCTCCACAGTGTTTTGCATTCTGCATTTTTTCTTGTTTGGTGAGAAATTTCTGTTTTAGCTCTGCTTCTTGGCAATAGTCAGATTAGAATTATTTAGCCATATGTTATTATGGTCAAGGTTGGAGTGATGGATGAATCAGTTTTGAGGCTTCTGTTGAAATGTATTCCTGCAGTAATTGTGATAATATATTCCTTAAAACATATACAACTATAACTTGAAAAAATGGTAACCTGTTTATTTCAGTACTAAAAATGACAACTTTAAAATAAAGATGTAATGGAGCATGTTCAAATTAAGCACAATATCATTTAGCAGGAATAGAAAAATTGTCATAAGAATCAATATTTGGGCACACTGTTGAACTATATTTGGTGGCTTTGGTGTTATATCTGTCAATTTTATTCCTAGGTATGCAGACATGCTTAAAGCAGAATGCTGTTTTAAGTTGGGGGAATCTCTCAATAGCTATGAAATCTCTTCTACAAAGACCAGTCCTTAGGGCAGACTGCAAGCTGTCATTTTTTATAGTTCTTTATGGTGTAATTCAATATAGTACAGATGAATTTTACATAGAGTCAGACCATTGTTCAGGATTTCTGAATTGTTTTGGATTTCTGGAATTCAAATTATACCAATTCCTAAACATTGATCCCATCACTGACATTGTGGTGAGGACTATACTACTCTTTGCTGTTGAAATATCAACATCAAGAAATGCTGCTTTACTTAAGCTAGGCATATTACTTATATGTATACTCCTTAGAGATTTTCTTCCATTTTTGTTTTGGAGAGCTAGTGTAGTGGTAGTCATGTGTTGACTTACCTACCTACCTACCTGTTTGAGAAAAGATACTAAAGATGCTGTGCTATTCATATGACAATTTCACATTTGCCATGTCTAGAGGCAAAACTAACCATTCTCCCACACAGGCTCAGACTCCTCACCTATTATGTGAGAGACAATAGAATTTATTTAGACAGATTTGTATAAGGTTTATAATTGGGAGGGATATAAATATAGTTAGGTATAGCTCAATATACAAGTGTTAACTTCAGAGGTGGGATTCACTTACCTTCCCTACCGGTTCGCAAGTGTGTGTGTGTGTGTGTGTGTCTGTGTGTGTGTGCAGTAGTTGTGCATTATGTCTGGGCGGGTAGGCAGAGACTCCTGCAGTCACAGCTACCGGTTTGCACAATCAGGACAGAACCGGCTGAATCCCACCACTGGTTAACTTGTAGTATTATGAATATTTCATTCTTTAGTATTTTCTTTCTTTTAATTTTGTATCTTTGTTTCCTATGGGAATCCGTTACAATTGCGGCTGCCAAGGGCTTTGTTTATAAAGTGCAAATATACAAGGATAAAATTTTTATCTTATGATGTTCTTTCTTGGGAGCACTTTATAAGACAGAGATATTTTAGTTGTCATAACTTCACTGCACAGACCTGCCATAATCAAATTATCCATATTATACATCTAAACAAATCTTCTCCTGCCCAAATTTAAACAGTATTTAAAACCAGTGCTTCTAATTATTTTGCTTAAGAGAAAAGTAAGAACAAAGAAGTTTAACTGAGGAGCATGGAAAATTTAAACGACAATCACACACATGTTTATATGAGAGTTCCTGAGTTCATGGACCATTCTGAATGAGAGGCCCTGAGCCCCAGTGTCATATGTAATTCTCAGGGACTTCCAAATTGTCACCAAATTGGAATGATAATATGACAGGAAGTAAAAATGATCAGATACACAACAGGAGACAAAATCAAATTAACTATTTTAATTTTTAATTATATTTTAATGTAAATTACATTTAGTTTTCATCTTGATTCCTATCCAGTAATGTTGGAGTATAGTCTTTAGCCGGAAATATATTCATACCATGATTAGTTAAAGGTAAAGGTTCCACTCACACATATGTGCTAGTCGTTCCTGACTCTAGGAGGCGGTGCTCATCTCCCGTTCAAAGCCAAAGAGCCAGTGCTGTCTGAAGACGTCTCCGTGGTCATGTTACCGGCATGACTAAACACCAAAGGGGCACGGAATGTTGTTACCTTCCCACCAAAGGTGGTCCCTATTTTTCTACTTGCATTTTTTATGTGCTTTCAAACTGCTAGGTTGGCAGAAGCTGGGACAAGTAATGGGAGCTCACCCCGTTACACAGCACTAGGGAGATTTGAACCGCTGAATTGCCGACCTTTCAATCGACAAGCTCAGTGTCTTAGCCACTGAGCCACCACATCCCACATGATTAGTTATAGAAGTTTAAATATAAAATCTAGCTATTGTGGTCCGTAAACATGATTTATTGTGTTGAGTCATTACAGACAAATGGGCTTTAGTTAATAAACTGTAGTTAAACTAATCTTGGCTTAGTATATGTTATCTGAGGACAGGCAATGAGGCTTGCTATTCACTAGCTCTATGTAAAACAGACCTTTCTGTTTTTCTGTTTAGTATCTAGTTTGTTGTTTCTAGTTTTTTAAAATTCTGTTTTGTGGAAACAGATTTCTTTTTATCTAATTGTCTACTGAGAAAGTTTATCTCAAGAGATATTAAACACCTTTTTTTTTAACAGACTAGAATTTGGATTCACTTTTAAAAATCAATATTGCTGCACCATAGGGAAAAATGTGTAGGTTTTTCTTTTTTTACTCAGTAGCTACATTTCTCATTTATTTATTTATATCACTGCTAATCTCATATGTATGACATATGTACTGTATGTATGTCAGCTTCCCCTAGCCCTTGCCTGGTTTCACCTGATTCATGCGCAGTCTGTGCCTGCCTTCCTCCAACTTGTTCACCTACCCCAAAAGGCTGAGAAATTACACTAATGGAAAGTATGGAAAAATGCTTTGTGAATATGAAAGCAAAAGTGGTTGTGAATGAAAAAAATTCATATAAGGAATTATAAAAATAGAAGGAGAAAAAAGTTATTGTATAATATGTAAAAAGACCAAAGGTTAGGTGCAGAGAGCAAGGAATGGTAAAGTTTTAATAGCCCAAAATGAAGTGGATCAGAAGAAGAGGGGAAGGAGGGAATCCTGGAAGAAGTATTTTATATTTATAGTTTATAGGGAGATGATAGTGAACTGCCAAAAAATAAAATTAAAAGCATTATAGTTGTTAATGCCCAAGATAAATGGACAAAAAATAAGTCATAATTGCTGTGAGAATGTTGATAACAGTTAAAGCTTAGGAGTAGATTATATAACTGGAGAAATGTCTACATATGAATGCAATTTGTCTATGGAATGGCTGTGTGTATCTTGCTTAACATATATGTGAAAAACTGCATCTGGACGTAACAATTGGAAGAATGCTGTTATTTTTCCCTTATACAAAAGGAAAACTAACAAAAACGAATGTAAGAATTACAGGGAGATACTTAGATGTCAAACATCTTCTCAGACATACTTACTCA